TAAAGAACTCATACAACTCAACAACAAAAAAACAAACAATCCAATTAAAAAATGGGCAGAGACCTGAACTGATATTTCTCCAAAGAGAAAATACAGATGGCCAATAGACCTATGAAAAGATGCTCAAGGTCACTAATCATCAGAGAAATGCAAATTAAAACCACAATGAGATATCACCCCATACTGTCAGAATGGCTATCATCAATAAATCAAAGAACAACAAATGTTGGCGAGGATGTGGAGAAAAGGGAACTCTCAAATACTGTTGGTGGGATTGTAAATAGGTACAGCCACATGGAAAACAGTTTGGAGGTTCCTCAAAAATTAAAAATGGATCTACCTTTTGACCCAACAATTGCACTTCTGGGTATTAATCCAAAGAAAACCAAAACAATAATTCGTAAAGATCTATGCATCCTTATGTTCATGGCAGCACCATTTATAATAGCTAAGATTTGGAAGCAACCTAAATGCCCATCAACAGACGACTGGATAAAGAAGTATGGTTCATATATACAATGGAATATTACTCAGCCATAAAATAAAATCCTACCATTTGCAATGACACGGATGGACCTAGAGGTTATCATGCTGAGTAAAATATGACAGACAATTTCACTTATATGTGGAATCTAAGGAACAAAAAGAAAAAACTAATCACAAACAGACTCACAAATATGAAGGACAATCTGGTGATGGCCGGGGGGAAGGGGGTGTGGGCCTGGGAGAAAGCAGCGAAGGGTTAAAGAAGTACAAATTAGTAGTTGATAGATGGTCACAGGGATGGGGAGCACAGCATAGGGAATGCAGTCAGCAGTAATGTAATGGTTGTGTGTAGAGCCAGAGGGAACATAGAATAATCAGGGGAATTGTTTCATAAACTATATGTATGTCTAACCAATGTATTGTATACTTGAAACTAATAATAAAATAAAATTAAAAAAAACTTCTTTCCACTCAGAAACATCAGAAATAGTACAAAGGCAAATTATAGATTGGGAAAAGATACTTGCATCACTTAAAACCATCAAAGTTTTCATATCCAGATTATAAAATCAAGTCCTACAGTTCAACAAGAGAAAGATAATCAATAGAAGGACATGTGAAAGAATTGAACTAGCATTTCATAAAAGAATACTCAAATGACCAATAAGTACATGCAAAAGTGATCAATTTCATTTAATTATAAGGGAAATATCAATTTAAACTGTATGATACCATTTCATGCTCCTCAGATTAGCGAAAGTTCCAAGCGACAGTACCAAAGATCAATAAGGATGTGGAACAACAGGGCCTCTTAT